CAAAAAGATCTAAAAGATTTAAACACGAACTTACATTGTTCACTTCGACTCCGCGATTCATGAAAGCTTAAGAAATCGTTTTAAGTAATAGAAAGAGAGTGGAGTAGTTGCAAAACCGCTGCCGTCTATCTAGGGTTCTCGGTGGAGTTGCCAAATAGAAAGATGAAGATTTTATATCCTTTATTTGAAACAATAAAGGAAAAACAAAAAAAAAAGAAACAAAAAGGCTGAATTTGTAACTCGAACTCGTGCCTTTAAGGCTGTTATAACCACCAAAACCACTGAATCGAACTTATTTTACACAATGGCTCTCAAAATAAATACTACATATACGCAACAATAGATAGGTGTTTTTTCACAAAAGCATATACTGTATATTCGACTTTTAGTTCAACGTTGTTGGATTTTGAGATGCTTAGATACATTTTTATTTGGACTTTGTCTTTATTTTTTTTGGTGAGATTGGACTTTGTCTTTATGAACATACAGTTATGTTAAAGCAAATTTTCATGTTTGCAAGATTTGCATTATAAATTTACTTTTATTCAACATATACTAGCTGAGTTACCCGCGCCTTGCGGGGCCAAATGAATTATAAAAATATATTTAAAATTTTTACACAATAAAAAAGTTAATACAAAATTAATAGATTTAAAATTACTATAAACTTAATGCAATTAACTAAGAACATTGCAAATACTAATATCGAATGGAATAACAAATATCGAATAAAATATGGATATAATATCAGATATATTACAATCAAAACTCTAAAAAAGTTACATCTATTTCTTTATTAATTTTTTCTTTTTATAAATCAAGTTTTTTTTTCACGTTCTTAATATTATTCTTTTCAATTTGGTGATATATTACATATAATGAGTTTATTTTTTATTCAATATTTCTAATTCTAAATCATAAAAGAACTCACATATAAGAACAACCCAATCTTTAATAATATATTACAACTTAAAAGAAAACATATCAAACTTAGAGTTATTCAAATTCTTGAAAAACACACTAAAATAAAAGAAAAAACATAACAAACTTAAAAGCCGAGATTTTTAGTAGTTACACATGTATCTTAGGTTAAGATCCTTTAATTCTCATCAACAACCTCTCCAAGTCTATCCGAATAAAGAGTAGATGCAAATTCAAACCTATTTGGAAAAAGCAAATAGTTAAACTAAAGATGAATTTTAGCAAGCATATTTTTTTGGTGATACGTAAATGAAGATTACATGAAGCTATCCTTGTCAATTTTGGAAAAGCCATGATTGATGAAAAACAATCTTTGAACACCCATCTTCGGACATTAGACATAGTTTTCCTAATGAAAATATGTGAATATTCATAAATCACAATACAAACAATAAAACGACGGGAAAATCACAATACAAACAATAAAACATAAATCAAATCATCCTCCTCTTCTTCATCTTTCCTGTCATCCTCATATTCGTCATCTTCTACTTCATAGAAATTCTCATCTTCTTCATCCTCTTCTTCTTATTCATCGTCTTTGTCTTCGTCTTCGTCTTCCTCTCCTTCATCACATTATTTCTCAAAATCGTATTACTCACACATTGATTCAGAGTCATCACTTTCACCACTTCCATCACATTCGTTTTTGTTTTCTCTGTCGCCCTCGTCCACATCAACTTCATAGGCACTATCACCTTCCACACATACAGTCTCGCCTTTGCCTGATTCTTTTCTACTTTCTTCTCCACCAACCAAATCCTCATCATTATCACTGTCACAATCATCCAACAACGCACCATCTTCATTTTTTTAGTATCCAAATTGGGTTTTAGACACAGCTTGAGTAAAGTCCGGAGATAATAATGATTTGGTACGAATTTATCTTCGTATTTTTTTATGTGCGTCTCGCAATCTTTTAGATCCTCCTCACAAGTCCCAATACTAACAACCTCACCGATCACATCTAACAAACCATTCAGAAAATTATACAATTAATTTTCACGTAAAAAAAATGAAATTTATTTAGATAACAAAAAACTAAAACATATATATCAAAAATTATTTATACAAAAAAGAAAACTTACCAACCAAGTAATATCATCGTAATGAACACCATCCCAAGACGTGTAGAATCAACGAAATTGAAGTATTTGCTATCCCCAACAATCTCCATTTTAGTAATCTTAGTTGCATGTATTGATGATTAGTAGCTTTGGATGAGCGAAACTGATCCACAACCTTAAATTAATCAAACTGAAACAAATGACCAACAAAAATCTTAGAAACAAAGCGATTATAAACACCACCTCTCAAAGAAGTTTCAACCTTTGAACCTTTTACAAAAAAAAAAACATTGTGAACACTACTTTTAATAATCGAGTGAAGGAATTTTTTTTTAGAAAATCACAAACCTTCATATCTGATAGAAATCATCACTAAACTCATACCATGCCCACCGAAGTTCTGCCTCCATAAACACAAGACCTTGACTCGAATTCTCCATTCATATTTTCCGAATTGTTGCAAAACGTGAGTGAAGAATTGAACAAAGTGGCTGAGGTATAGAAACATAACATTAATGTGAAGATAGAAGATTAAAGTTTGGTGTATTATAATTCTAAAGTCTATTTTATGTTGAATGGGCAGTTGTGGACGAGAGAAGAGAAGGATCATTGTTTGGCAGAGACAGAGATATCGTTCAAGTTTTCTTGGGAGATTTTTCGTTTCTTAATGTCATAACTTGTGATGAGCTTCCAAGCACATTGTCTTTACTTTATGACAAAATAATAATAGGAAGTTTTTTACTTGTTTCTTTTCCACTTCCACGTTTATACGAGATAAACTTCGATTCTTGTTTAATTAATCTTTTGGCTCTACCATTTGTGCATTTGTTTAGCATCGAGCCTAGTGCCGTCTACCATTAAGAAAATTCCAACAAAGAGAATCAAAAGATATGATATCAAAGAAAGAGAAGAGAAAAAAGAGAGAGAGACACCGTGATGAGAAAGATTAGAGATTTCAAAGAAATGGGAAAAACAAAAACTATTAGGTTAGAGGCTTAAGAAACAACGTTTATGGTCATTTGTGTTGATAGGCTCTCTTCGTTGTTCTAGATTTGTTTATCTGTTGATTGGTAGGATCTTTTTGTTTCATGCCACTTTCTAAATTTTCTTATGGTCAAAAGTGTTGAGTATGAATTTTTTGATTCATGAATATGTTGTAAGACTTTTAGCCATCTGCCTACTTCTCAAGAATAGTAAATTAAATGTTCTTTAGACTAGAGAAATATAATTTAGGATTTACTCGAGAACAATTCTCGTGAGTTTTTTTTTTTTTTTAGTGATTTTGATAATTTTTAAGAGGTTTTGTTCTCGTTTCTCATGATAATTGGTTTTATATGATAGTATCTCTTTTCGCTAAATTCTTTTGTTTGTTTTTCTGAGATCATGGTCCATTTGTTTCTTATAATAGACGTTATTCCGATATTGCCAATTTTTACAATATATCCAACATTTTGCCAATTTCATTGAGGCGTAAGAGGGAAAGGATTACGACAGCTGTACTGTGAAGAAATCTTGCTTAATATTTTAGTAATTTCTTTCCAACCTACTCTAAGGGAGATCTCTTATTTTTGAATCTATTAATTGCTCGACTAATTACTCGACTAATTACTCGATACACTTAACAGCAATGCAGTATATACAAGGTCGATCCACAAAGGCCAAAGATATTTTAAGGATTTCTTAGCTAAAACGGAAAGGTTGTTTGGTTGGGTTTTCAACTTGTGAATAAAAATGCAGTGAAAATAAACAATTAAACTTATATGATAAAAAGTATAGGGTCATAGGGTATTTCAGAGATCAACAATAATGGGAATATGATACAAGGAATTCAATAATAAAGGACCATTCTCGAACATATACACAAGATTATACTAATTCTCTCTCAAGACATTAGTAACTAAATTCAACTACTCTATTACGAACTCTCGTTTGTAATTTCCTAATTAAATTCACATTAGAATTAGGTCCATTTGGTCCACAATGCATTCTAACATCAACTCTCGTTGGCTAGAAATACAGTACTCATTTTACACTCATTCAGGCATTCTATTGAACACTTTTGATACGTAGAAATACTTATGTTCTAAAACAGGGAGATCAATCATATTTTATCACTAACAACATGTAAACCGAAGAACCTGAGGATGAAGAATTCCTAACAACAATCGAATATGAATGAGATTGTAATTTTAATTAAGCCAATTTTGACATTAACTGATGTGTTCTTTTTTTTTTCTTTCTTACACATCAAAAGAAAACATTTGTCCAAAGGAAAAAAAAAAAAAAAAGCACATCAAAAGAAAACGTATGATCAAAATTACAATTTTGAATATTGCATGGTTCACTAAGAATTTCGTATGATATAAGCAAACTCCTCATGAGAGCAAAACTGATACTTGTTCAAAACGATATCGTTTTGATAACTTATATACGGAGTTATACAGTTTGCAAAACCTATATATAGTTGAGGGTTAGATTGCGAGTGATTTTGATTTGGAGATATTGACCTACATTTTTTTAGTTTGGGGATTAACTTGCAAAAAAAAAAAATTGGAGGGTTTTGAAAATTGAAACCCTTCTTTTTTCTTTTGCTAGTCTTTAATTATTTGGAATCGCTAATAATTTTCTCTATTAATGATTTTATAATTATTTTAATAAAGTTTATATATCATATATTAATTTTATTTTTATTATTGAGTATTCTGGTCTTGTTTCTTAATAATATTTAACGTGCTTTGTACGTAAGACCCAGTTCTCTATTATTTGGTCAAGTGGCGCAGCTGTGGTATATTGTCGGAAACCTCATTATCTTACGAAGCTGTCGTTGTCCTAAGCCGTTGACTAGATTCATAAAGTCTTTAATTTAAAGACGACATAAAGTTTCTATTAAAGTCTTTAATTAACTTAAAGACTAAATGAAGGACTATATATATATACACTTCCGTAGTCTTTCTCTTACAAGCCCTAATTTCAAATCTCAATTTGCTTGTCTATTATTTCATGGCTACATCAAGACTTAATGTCTCTTTCCGCTTTCCCGCAAGCAGAAGACTCGACTGCGAGAGCTATCTCAGTCTGAGAGCTAAGACAGTGACGATAACATATGCCCGAACCATAGCCGCTCCTCGTCACCATCTTATCCGAAGAGCAAACGAAGATCGGACTTTGGTGGTGAATGCTGTGGCGGCAGCAGGGGAGAAGCCAAAGAGAAGGTATCCTGGAGAGCCAAAGGGGTTTGTGGAGGAGATGAGGTTCGTGGTGATGAAAATGCACCCGAAAGATCAGGTAAAAGAAGGAAAAAATGAGTCCAACGGTCTTGTATCAACTTGGAATTTCACAATCGAAGGGTACTTGAAGTTTCTCATGGATAGTAAGCTTGTGTTTGAGACGCTTGAGTGGATTATTAACGAATCTACTCTCCAAGCTTGTGAGTTTTTCTCATCCTTTTTTTTTGATAACCCAGTATCCAGACCACACAGTGATCTGACTAGCCCACTGGGCCTAAGCCCGCGTCACAGGGATTTTTAAGCCTCCACTTAAGGGCCCCCTGATAAACTGGTGGTCTGGGGCGCCTGAGCAAGTCCGCAGGTAAATTCCCAGGTGGCCACAAGAGTGAGAGAGCGAAACTGCGTCTGGAGAGGATCGATCCCTGGCCTAGACCAACAGGGCGATCCTTCCAACCAAACGAGAACCACTCGCCCACCACCATGTGGTTTTTTCTCATCCTTTTTTCCTTGAAATGATTTCAGTTTACTAGATCATCTGATTAAATGTGTGATTAGGAGAATAAGTTTTGAGAAACATTGATAGTGGTTTGGTCCTACTATATACCTAGTAGAGTAAATGTTTTGGACATGATTTAGTGTCAGTTCCTTCTCCTTGGATCATATATGCACATATATTAGAGTTTTCAAATAATCTCCGAGTGATGATCACGCTTATGTTAGGTCGGAATTAATTACAAACTTTATCCCATATAGATCAATAGGACGAATCGGAGAAAGAAAATTAAAATGTTAACGTGTGGCATTTCAAAGAATAAGAATTTGTTTATGTTCCCAGTCTATAATTACAAAATTTAAAAATAACCTAATTAAACGTTGCAAAAATTTACACCTTACCAGTAAATAAATCATTTAAAATTTCGCCTAAATACTAAAACTCTATTTAAATCACAAACCAATTAGCTGTGAAAATCTAATAGTTAAAAAAAAAAAAAAAAAAAAAAAAAATGAGTTTGGTACTAACAATAATAATTTTAGTTTTTAACATGGTAATCTATTTTCTTGATATAACTTTTACTAATAAATTTTTGTATTAAGTTACATACATAAACACTGACAAAAAAAAAAAAAAAAAAGTTGCATACATAAACATATTAGTCCGATCTATATATACATAGTTTTCTTAGATAAAATAAAACTTGAGTTTGCGTATGGAGCAAGTCATGGTTATGTATTAAAAAAATGAATACTAGCTATAGTATGCAAAAAGTTAAAAGGTCTTTTTCCTTGTGAAACCTTGTCAAAATCTCTTGTTCTTTCTTACTTTTTTTGGTTAGATGCCGGGCTCAAAAACACAGGGTTGGAAAGGACAGAGAATTTGAGTAGGGATTTGGAGTGGTTCAAGGAACAAGGTTACGAGATTCCAGAGCCAATGGCTCCTGGTAAAATATATTCTCAGTATTTAAAGAATATAGCAGAGAAGGATCCTCAAGCATTCATCTGTCACTTCTTCAACATCTACTTTGCACATAGCGCTGGTGGTCGAATGATTGGGACAAAGGTGAAACAAAAAACAACTTTATTCTCTAAAAAGGTCTCTTAGGAACTTTCTTACAAGTTTACAAGTTTTGTAGGTATCTGAGAAGATACTCGACAATAAAGAACTCGAGTTCTACAAATGGGACGGTCAACTTTCCGAATTGTTGCAAAACGTGAGTGAAGAATTGAACAAAGTGGCTGAGGTATAGAACATAACATTAATGTGAAGAAAGAAGATTAAAGGTTTGGTGTAGTTTAATTCTAAAGCGTATTTTATGTTGAATGGGCAGTTGTGGACAAGAGAAGAGAAGAATCATTGTTTGGCAGAGACAGAGATATCGTTCAAGTTTTATTGGGAGATTTTTCGTTTCTTAATGTCATAACTTGTGATGATGAGCATCCAATGGTGACAAAAGTGGCGGGAAGGCCATCAAGAGTATGAAAACAAAATCTAAAATAATTGGACCAAGTCTCCATGAACATGTCTTTACTTTATGGCAAAATAATAATAGAAAGTCTATGTGGTTACCGAAATGTAGGAATCACACTTCCTTAGTTGTTCACTTGTTTCTTTTCCACTTCCACGTTATACGAGCTAAGCTTCGATTCTTGTTTAATTAGTCTTTTGGCTCTACCATTTGTTCATTTGTTTAGCATCGAGCCTAGTACCGTCAGCCATTAAGAAAAGGGATTATTGTTGATTTTATCAAAATCTTTTGAAAATACCATTTTCATTAAAATCTTACGGATTTGCCATTTTTTTACACTTAAAAATGTACGTATTTCAGATTTTTTTTGATAAAAATACGTAGTTTATACAAAACACTAAACCCTAAGAACAACCACAACCGACTAAACCCAAACATAACGAATAAAACGCATGTTAAATCATATTTCCGTAGCCTGAAAAAGGGCAAAATCCATAAACTATTCAAAAAATGGCAAAATCCACAAATGCCATCCCAAAAAATGGCAAATCCATAATTGATTCTTAAGAAAATTCCAACAAAGAGAAATCAAAAGAGATGATATCAAAGAAAGAGAAGAGAAGAAAGAAAGAGACATCGTGATGAGAAAGATTGGAGATTCCAAAGGAATCGAAAAAACAAAAACTATTAGGTTAGAGGCTTAAGAAACACTGTTTACGATCATTTGTGTTGATATGCTCTCTTCGTTGTTCTAGATTTGTTTATCTTCGGTGATGATTGATAGGATCTTTTTGTTTCATGCCACTTTCCAAATTTTCTTACGGTCAAAAGTGTTGGGTATGAATTTTATGATTCATGAATATGTTGTAAGATTTTTAGCGATCTGCTACTTCTCAAGAATAATAAATTAAATGTTCTTTAGACTAGAGAAATATAATTTAAGATTTATTTGAGAACAATTCTCGTGGGTTACTTCTCTACATTTTTCTCTTAGGGATTTTGATAAATTTTTATAGGTTTTGTTCTCGTTCTCATGTCCAATTGATAATTGGTTTAATATGATAGCATCTATTTTCGTTAATTCTTTTTTTTTTTCTGAGATAGTTCATTTGTTTTTTAGAGTTGAGGTTATTACCATATTGCCAACTTTTAAAATAAATACAGTATATTGCCAATTACACTCGATTTGATGCTTATTATTCAGTCCAATTACTCTAAAACATCCAATCACACATATTGTTTTTTCATTTATACATATTAATTGTTCACTAGATACAAATTATAATAACTAGTAATTTGAAATATTTAGAAAATTTTACTTAACATATACTAAATTTAAAGACTGATTATTTTTAGATTTATTGATTTAACAAGATTTATAAATTACTTTTCAAACTATAGTTTTTAGTTTTATCACTTTTTAGAAAACATTTCACACGTCGCATCTCTATATTATAAATCTTTGTTATGTATGTGTCATGTACAAATGTTTTTAACCTCATAAAAAATATTTCAAAAGATCATATTTTAAATCATAATTATTCCTTTTTACATTTTTATTTATAAACGTTTTAAATAAATCTTGAATACTATTTACAATATAACGTAAAAATTGGAAAAATTTACATGATATTTCAAACATTTAAATTCACTATCACAATCATTTAATACATAAACGCAATCGAAGAAATTTTTGCATTACAATATTTTGTGGAAAATGAGTTCTCATGCGACATCACGAAGGATCATAACCAAATAACAATAATCTCAGTCAACTTCTTAATTAATTTGTTTTTCGTGTGCAAGTGAAGTACAGAACAATGAACATGAGGTTCATAATTAATGAACATCACATTAGAGGTCAAGAAGCTTAAGAAATTTTGGGTCCTTGCAATTCTATTCGTTAGATCTCGTTACAATAGATCTCATTGTTTAGTAAAAAAGTTTCACTTTAACCTTTTCGTTAGCTGTCCAAGAAAAGAAATTAAGCTAATAAAAATTAAAAATATATATGAAAATATGAAAGAGTCGAGTGCATGAATATTACGGAGAAGTCCCTGCGCCGACCAAAGTTTTGTTTACCGCTCACTTGTAAATTTCAAATGACAACCGATTCTCATTTCTCTCATATATATATTTATTTTCTATTGTTGAGAATTCTTTTGAAATCTTCCACTACACCTGCTCCAATAATCCTATAATCAAAGCTTTGAAGTTAAATACAAATTATGATTCTATTTAAATAAATCAAGCTCAAGTTTAGTCCTTTTTTACTCCTTTGTAATGAATTTGATTTGTTAGATTTTCTTGAAATATTATTGTGTTCGTATATCTTTATGTTAATCTACCTTTTGTATATTTTTGGTAAGTAACATACCTCTTTTTAGTTTTTGGACAAAGGTAATTAACATACGTCTATGTAGACAACTAAATAGGTTTACATACGTTTTGGCATCGGTACGATCCCTGAGCACTGTAACAAAAAAATTACAATGCTCTGAATGAAATCCCCCACGTTAGTTGCATCAGCTAACTTCACTGATTCACAGTCCCAAGGTACGATCCCTGAGCGCTGTAACAAAAAATTAGATATGGTCAAACTCTTATCTTATGGAAACAAAAAGATCTAAAAGATTTAAACACAAACTTACATTGTTCACTTCGACTCCGCGATTCATGAAAGCTTAAGAAATCGTTTTAAGTAATAGAAAGAGAGTAGACTAGTTGCAAAACCGCCGCCGTCTATCTAGGGTTCTCGGTGGAGTTGCAAAATAGAAAGATGAAGCTTTTAATTTGTTTGAAGAACCATTGCAACATTTGGTAAATTTGATTTTTACAATCGCGTCTCTCGGTATAACTCTTCATAAATTATTATTTTCAAAATTTTCATTACTGTAATATATTTCAATGAATTGTTGCTATTTTTTAATTGAATTATTTGACGAATCGGTATAATTTTTAGTTTATTTTATGAATCAACGTAAACTTAGCTTATTTGATGAACTGTTGCAACCTCTGATATATTTGATATGAATCGTTGCATTTGTTAGTTTATTAGATGTATTGTTGTAAATTTTGGTATATTTGATGAACCGTTACAATATTTGCTTTTTATAAAAAAAATTTGTGGGCATTAATTAAATGTAAAAAAAATAGAGTAAAAAATCACTTAACAAAAAAAATATTGGAGAGAACACAGCCTTAAAACTCTAAGATTAAAGAAGGTTCTCTTCTTCTCTTCTTTTTCTCTCGAAGCGTTTTTGACAGATTTACCATCATGTCTTATGATAATAGAAATGGCAACAAATACCTTTGAAAATTATGTTTGTAATCTTATATTTTGTTTCATAATTTTTTTTTCATCATTCAAAACTATTTTTTATAAAAGTTTTCCATTATAACTATTCACTTTGTTCTTTTTCATTTAGATTGCGTTACTTTACCATAATTTTATTCGAACAGGAAAGTATGGTTAGAGTAAAAACCATACTAAAAGACAATTACTCTACTTTACGTTAATATTGATCCGATTAGGAAAATAGTATTTTGTGCTAAACGTTTTTTTATTTTCCTTCCCTTATTTTTATCTTCAATTCTTGAAAGTTTTTTACCTAAATACAGTGGAGTAAACTTTTACACTCGATTTGATGTTTATTGTTTAGCCTAGTTACTCTATTTTACTCTAAAACTACCAATCACACCCATCGTGTTTTTTTATATATACATATTAATTGTTCAATGGATCCAAATCTTAATAACCAACAATTTGAAATATATTGAAAAGGTTTATTAACATATACTATTTAAAGATTGATTTTTTAATAGATTTATTGATTTAGCAAAAGATGTATGGACTACTTTTAAAAATAAAGTTTTTAATTTTATCACTTTTTAAGAAATATTTCAAACGTCACATCTTTTTAGTATAACTCTTTGTTCCGTATGTTTTCACTTATAAAAATGTTTTTAGCCTCATAAAAAATATTTCAAAATATCGTGTTTTAAAAATAATTATTCTTTCTTACATTTTTACTTATAAACATTTATAATAACTTTTGAAAAAACAATTACAGTATAACGTTAAAATTGGTAGAATTTATATGATATTTCAAACATTTAAATTCATCATCACGATAATTTAATACATAAACGATATCAAAAAAATTCTAGCATTACAATATTTTGTTGAAAATCATATTCTCCCGCTACATCGCGAGGGCTCTTAACCTAATAATAATAATCTTAATCAACCTCTTAATTTGTTTTTTTTTTGTGTGCAACTGAAGTACATAATGAACATGAGGTTCATAATGAACATCACATTAGTGGTCAATAAGCTTAAGGAATTTCAGGTCTTTGTAACCCTATTTAAATATTTCGTTTAAGTTCTCAACAAATTGCAACAACTAAAAAAAATAAAAATAAAAATAAAAATAAAAAAATTTCAACAACTAAAATATATTAAAAAAAAATTATATTGCATGTTAGATACATAATATTTCCTAATTAATTGATTATAGTACGTCTTAGCTACATAATCTTTTGGTTATTAGTTTGATTATCTTATATTAATAATTATTCGAGAAAGTTATTCCACAAATCTATCCATCGGTTGCTTCATGAACAAAAAAAAGCTCCGATTTAGTTTTAAATCTATTAGCCGGGGGACTCAGTGATACGAGTCAAATTACCCTATGACTACTCTCTTAAATAAAGAGATCGCTGCAGTACTTAGAACCTTCTCACGCGGGCTAAGAACATGTGTATTCTTCATAACAAGAAGGAGTTCTTGATTGGATTCTCTTTAATATTCTGGACCGTTTGAATTCTTGACAGTACTTGATCCTATTTTCATCTGCCAAAATCACAAGGAAACAAAAGAGTATCAACAAACCATCATTCATCAAAACACAACACAAGAGAAATCAAATTAAATTTGTTAATTTATTTAAGAAATCAAATTGAAAGCATGCATCTAACAAACAAAATAAGTTAGAACTAAATACAAAACAACCTGCAAAATCATAAAAGGAACAAACCATCAAAACCTAACAAAAGATAAATCAGTAAACAAGATCGAGAGCATTCAAGTAGGATAA